CGCATGAGCCGAGTGGGCAGCAAGGACGACGAGTCCGCCTTTTGCTTTAAAATCTTCACCGGCTGGGACTACATGATTGGCAACAGCGAGACGGCCTACAATAAGGTCGCCTCGCTGGTGATGAGCCTGAAGGAGTCGATTCTCGAGGAGAAAGAGCGCAAAAAGGAGAAAACCAGCTGGAAACGGATCTGTCTGCTCATTTTCACCAATCTTTGGTAGGTTTAGGCTGCCATAATAATGCTTTGTTTTAAGCACACTAAAACTAAAAATTTAAAATTTTTTACAGCGTTCTTGCGTTGTTGGCTTCCTCCGCCTACGCCGTTGTCCTCGTCGTTGAGCGCTCACAGGAGATTGAGAACAATAAGATAGAGAACCCCAGTTGGCTGAGGGCGAATGAGAACACACTGGTCGTGGCGGGCATCAGCAACATCTATCCAAACATTTTCGACTTTATTGGCAGCCTGGAAAATTACCACCCACGAATTGCACTTCGCTGGCAGCTGGGACGGTAACTTTATAAACACTTGTTTTTGTGTGCCAAAATGTTTAACTGCAAATTAATTCAATCTGCGTTCAGCATTCTCGTCCTCAACTTTCTCAACTTGTACACGCTGATGCTGTCACTCTTTGATAAGGTTGACAAAAAGGTACTTTTATTTTGCAACTTCTGTACTATAACACGATTTAGTTTTAATCTGATTATTTATCTGACTTTTTTTCAAACTTCATTCCCACAGACCGCCGAACTTCGCCTGATCAAGGGGAACATCTCGCTGACACGCCAGCAGCTGGACATTGTGGCGCTCTCCACGACGGCCACCTTTCGCGTCAAGCGAGACGGTCGAGAAGGTAAAACTGAAAGGGGCTGAAACTGGCTGACTGTACTTAAGGGAGTTGCTGTGAAGTGCCGCACAATGATCTCATTTTCACTTTTCATTAATCATCACCATCCACAGAGTACGCCGACTACGAGGACAGCGACGACTCGACGCTTTTTCCGCCGGCCATCATCTACGACCCCTACGAGGTGGCAGTCAACAACAACAACAACAATCGGGATGAGCAGTCCATGGAGGGGCGAGATCGTTTTGATGAGTAGGTGAAAAGTGAGAAAAACAATTAAAAAGTACCCTTTGATTGAGTTTTTTTTGTAAAACCCTAATCTAGCTCACAGAATTTTGCCGATAGTGGCAGCACCACCACTAGCCCACCGTGGATGTCGACAACGTTTACTAGTTTTAGTGGTGGTGGTGGTGGTGGTGGTGGTAGCGGTCCTGGTGGCCAACGATCTTCAGCATCAAATCGAAGCACTTGGAGCACCTCATCAGGAGTGCACCACACGTCCAACACAAGTGGAGAACACAACCGATTAGCTGCTCCTCCTGCCGGCTCAATGTCAGTCACCCTGACCACTCAATGGTTTTCCTCAAACGACAATGGCAGCAGCAGCAGCAGCAGCACCAGGAAGCCGCCCAAAAGACCGACCACCAAGCCTCGAACTCGGCTGAAAGCCGGCCAAATTACCACCACCACCGAGATGGTCACTGAGAGTCTCCTGCTGGCGACGGAGCCGAATTTGGGCAGCTGCGAAAACGTCACCGAGTACCAAATTACCGACGAGGACCTGATGGCGCTGAACTCAACGGTGAAGGACCGCCTGCGGAAGCTCTGCTGGGAGACGATGTTCGGCCAGGAGCTGATCAAGCTGACCGTCATGGACCTGGTGGTGCTGATCGCCTCCACCCTGGTCGGCGACTTCTTCCGCGCCCTCATCGTCCGCTACTGCAACGGCTGCACCTGCATCTGCTGGGACCTGGAGAAGAAGTGGCCCGGCTATGGGGACTTCAAGATCGCCGAGAACATTCTCCACCTGGTCAATAACCAGGGCATGATCTGGCTGGGCATGTTCTTCAGCCCCGGCCTGCCCGCTCTCAACACCGTCAAGCTGTGTTTGCTGATGTACTTCCGCTCCTGGGCGCTGCTCACCTGCAACATTCCCCACGAGACGGTGTTCAAGGCCTCGCGGAACAACAACTTCTACTTCATCCTCCTCCTCTTCATGCTCTTCCTCTGCACACTTCCGGTCAGCTACGCCGTCGTCTGGCTGGAACCGAGCTGGCACTGCGGCCCCTTCAGCGACTACGCCCGTATCTACAAGATTCTCAGCAACTACGTCAGCTCCAAGCTGAACAGCACCTTCAACAAGGTCCTCGACTACCTGACGTCGCCGGGGGCGGTGCTGCCGCTGCTCCTTCTGATGGTCCTCTTCATCTACTACCTCCTCTCCACGGTCAGCTCGATGAAGGAGGCGAACAGGGAGCTGAAGTCGCAGCTTCGCAAGGACAAGGACGTCTCAGAGGCGAACAATCTAGGGTGAGTAGTGGGTAGTGGCCTTTGAACAGGATTTTTACTTATGATATTCACCTTCTTTCTTTACTCCTTTTTGTTTCAGGCTGGAGCTGGGCATTGGTCCTAATGTTCAAGTGAGCTCTCCAAATGCCAAACACGTGCGCATTCAGGAGAGCGACCCAAAGAGCGCCGACAAGGTGCACCTGCTGGAAAGCACCAGTGACACCAGTGTCGTTTCCGGATAGGATCATTTCTATTTGCAAAATTGTAAACACCTGCTTAGTAGTTAGTTGGCATTTTTATTAAAGTTTGCGCTTTTTAGGTTAAGCAAAGTACCAGCTTAATTGGTCAGCATTAAATTGCACCTTTGCAGCAACACTTGACAAGGTTTTTACAGATATGTGGGTGACTAGTTTTGGTATCAGAAATCAACCCTTGAAACACTCACTCCGTTCACACTGCCACTGCTCTGATTCACCCAATTTTATTACCGTCAACAGCAGCAGCAGTAGGCTGAGGATGTTCCTCACCTGACCGCTTCCAAGTGCGCAAATTTCTATGCGTTGGCGCTATCAGCAAATCGGTGATAAGATTGGTGGGGGATTGTACGATGCGCTGGCTGCAGGCATTTTACTATTTAAAAGAGAGCGCCGAATCAGCCGATGCTGCCGTGCTGTTTACCTTTCTACTACTTTTATTAGTTCAACGTGTTTGCAATCGAATTTGTTTTTGAGAACTAATCAAGAAGCGACATTCCATTTACTAGCATCAACATTTTTAAACCAAGTGAAAAAATGACGTCCAGTTTTCCAGACAAGAAGAAGAAGAAGGAAAAGATTTCCTCTTTAACGCTCATTGTTCTAGCTTTTAATTGCTTCTATCAGTGCACCCAAGTACAAGCCACTACTACTACTTCTGCAACAGCAACAAAAGAAGAAAATACAGAAAATTCCCATGATAAACCGTCCTTGATAACCCTTGCCCCGGTGGTGCAGACAGCAGAGGGCAAAGTTCAGGGCATTGTACAGCGCTGGGATGCCCACAGTGATTTAAGCAGTAATGACGCCCACAACTCCTCCTCAATAGTTTACCTATACCAGGGAATTCCCTATGGACGCATCCCCGGTGGAGGTCGATTTGAGGCGGCTGTCCCTGCTGAAAAGTGGGCCGGAATTTACCAGGCGACCCACTACCGGGACGCCTGTCCTCAGCTGCCCAGCGCTCGCATGTTCGGCCGCATTCTCCGCCTGCTCAGCATGACCAACAGCACCAGCGAGGCGGAATGTCTTCTGCTGAACGTCTGGCGGCCAGTAGTGGCTGTCACAGGTGATCAATTGGAAACCGGCCAAAAAAAGCCTCTTCCGGTGATGGTTTTCATTCACGGGGGCGCCTTTGAGGTAGGTCCTTGAATTGTCGATTGTATTGTGATTTATAATTATAAAAACGCACTTTTTATTTTTCTTCCCTAGACAGGAACCATCTTCACGCAGGCCTACGACGGCCGCTACCTGGCCACGGTCGGCGGGGTGGTCGTCGTCACCCTTCAATACCGCCTGGGCGCCCTGGGCTTTCTAACCGCTCCCGGCCAGGTGCCGGCCAATCTCGGTCTGCGAGATCAGGTGCTCGCCTTGAAGTGGGTCCGCCGGAACATCGCCGCCTTTGGGGGCGATCCGCGGACGGTGACCGTCTTCGGCGAGTCGGCCGGCGGAAGCTCAGTGGCGGCGCTCATCCTCTCGCCGCTGGCGTCAAACCTTTTCCAGCGAGCAGTAGTTCAGTCCGCCGCCCAGGGAGGCTTCTTCAGCAGCGAATCGGTGGAGCAGGGCCTGGAGAAGACGATGCGACTTGCCGCCAGGCTAGGTTGTCACAAGCAGCAACCAAAGTTTGAACTGGGCAATGTAAAGCAGTGGCTGCCGGAGGTGGTCCGGTGTCTGAAGGAGAGGCCAGTGGAGGCGATTCTGGCCGCCTCGGCGGACGCCTTCGCCACAAATGGCCTCTTTCTGCCCGTCTACGGCGCCGACGCTGAGGTGTTGCCCGTCAGGCCGGAAGATGTGCTGAAGGAGGAAAGTGATGGTGGTGATGGAAATCATCAAAGGGCTCATCACCAGCAGCTGCCCAATCCAGGTGATCTGGATTTGATGGTAAGGACTTGATTGATTCTGCCAACTTTTTACTTAAAACTGTGTTCAAAATTTTAACTTTTGCTTTGCTATCCTCGTTTAGTTTGGCATCACCAAGGACGAGGGCTCGATGTTTGCGCTGGCGC